TTTTTTGCCATGCCAACATTTAAATTTATTACATAAATGTTTGACATTACTAAGTTGATCAAAGGATTTCTCATCATATGTTTGACTATTGCAAAGGCTATGGCCCATACCTCTACAAATGTCTCATTTTATATGATGGCTACTCATGCTGTCACAATTTATATATATATATATGGGAGATGTTACGGTTCTGTTACAGAACCATTTCATCGGGGTTTATAATCGTTAGATCAACTATTCCCGACGATTACATGATGATCTAACGGTTATACAAACCCCGACGTAATAGTTCTGTAAAGAGATCGTAGCATCTCCCTAAAAGTATATGCAAACTTTGTATGCTTTTACAAGTCATACTACCAAATTTTATATACACACACTTGTGCTGCAAGTTTTCCTGCATTATCAGTTTACTTTGAGACTTGACTGTGCGCCTTTGCAAGCAAAACAAGCAGAAAGAAGTGTATAGCTATTTCCTATATCATTCATATTTCCTATATCATTCATCAACTCATTTGATCAATTGCCAACATACATAAGGAAAAAAAAAAAAAAAATGGCTTTTGAATCTGAAAATCCCTTACATCTCCCGATCTTAGATGTCTCTAAACAATTCGATTCGTCTTATTTACCATCTCTAGCCGAAGCTTGCAAAGAATGGGGATTTTTTCAGATTATCAATCATGGAATAACGAAGGAGATTTATGCGAAAATCTACTCTCTCTCGAACGAGATGTTTGCTCTTCCTCCCGAGACGATGCTCAAACTAGGCCCTTTCTCGTCGTTAAAGAGTTACACGCCTCGTTTTATTGCCTCTCCATTTTTCGAGAGCATTAGAGTGTCGGGACCGGATTTTGATGCCTCTGTCAAGAGTTCTCTTGATGTTCTCGGCAAACATGATAAGGAGTTTAGGTAATGTTTTGTGCATTTTGTGTGTGTATGTATGTGTGTATAAAGAGATCTTTAGTAATGCTTGATCATGTAATCTAGTTTGGTTTCTCTGTTTTCTCTGTCTTGAGGTTTTTTTTTTTAAAAACATAACTTTATGATTTTAGCCTAAAAACTTTTATCAATATTCTCTAAAATGGATCTTCAAATGTTGTTTGTAATGCTTATCACTATAGTGTTTTTTTTTTTTTGGGTAACTAGGCATAAATCTTAAGGATAGTTCTAGTTTTTCTTCTTCATTTATTTTTTGAAACTGTTCTGCAGTGAAGTATTGCAAGAATATGGGAGTAAAATGATAGAACTATCCAAAACCATCCTCAAAATCCTTCTAATGATCCTTGGAGATGGTTTCGAGACGAAATATTACGAACCCGAATTCAAGAACTGCCATGGGTACTTGAGGATAAATAACTATACCCCTCCGAAGAACATTCGAGATCAAGTAGAAGAAGAAGTCGAGGGACTCGGAATGCACACCGACATGAGTTGCTTGACGATCGTGTACCAAGACGAAATCGGAGGTCTTCAAGTGAGATCGAGAGAAGGGAAATGGATGGACATTGCCCCCTGTGAAGGAACTCTAGTCGTGAATATAGGCGACATGTTGCAAGCGTGGAGCAACGAACGGCTAAGATCGTCCGAGCATAGGGTCGTTTTGAAAAAGCCCACGAACCGTTTGTCGTTAGCTTTCTTTTGGTGCTTTGAAGACGATAAGGTGATACATTCTCCCGATGATGTCGTCGGTCGAGACAATGTAAAGGTTTACCGACCGTTTGTTTGTTCGGAGTATTTGAGGTTTAGGGAGAGTAATGAGAAGGGTAGGTTTGAGAAAGTTGGTTTTACAGTTAGGGATTTTGCAGGAGTTTGATGAATTAGTACCTATGTTAGAACTCAAAAAAAAAAAAAAAAAAAAAAAAAAATTGAAAGTTAGTTAAAGTTCTTCTTTTGGGAGTTGGTTTGTGGAAAAGTATATATGGCTTGTAGTTGTTTTATTTGTTTTTGTGTTTTAAGTTATGGTTAATAATAACTATAGTATGTGTTTGTTTAATTTTATTGAGTTAATAGACAATTTTGTAGGAGAATGAAGAGTGGTGAGGCTTAGGGTTTTGTTTGGGATTTCGAGTAACATTTAGAATTTTGAGAAATTTGATACTTATTAAGATTTTTAGATTTTGAATAAATTATGTGAAATCTTAAGTATACAGGTAGATTTAGAGTGGGATTTCGTATTTATTTTTATTGGTAGGGATCCCAACAAATCTTTAAAAATCTTAACAATTAAGTTAATTAGCTCAAGATTTTTTAAGAGTTAATTTTTAAAATCGAAATCTCAAATGAATACGCTACTTTAAGGTTTTGCCTTGTTATTTAGCATGGTTTTGGACAGTAGAAGCATTTATAGACAAGTAATGTTTACCAAACTAAAATTTTACTTTATTTTTATTTTCACATGGAGTTTTTTAATTAATATTCATAGGAGCTTATATTATTCCTGCAATGAGAGAATGCATAATTAATGGTATGGACATATTTGCAATTAAAACATCAATAATTTATTTTTAACTAGTTAAGTTTATATATTTGTAAGACGAGAATGGGTAACTCAGTTGGTAGCACGTTTCATTTGGGACTAATGGACCTCGAGTTCGAGTCACTCAAGGGGTAGACGAAGTGGTTGCTTAATCACCACTATAATTGTGGATTTTGTGGATGGCATGATCTTAGTTGCAATCTAAATGGGGTCTCCATTATATGATAACAACCTTTTGTTGACACCTTTTTCTAGATAAATAAAAAGAGAGGAAATAAAATTCTCAATTCACCTGTTAGGATCCGACACTTGGGTATTATTCTGTTGGAGTCTTGTAGTTGTGTTAGTTGTTTGTGTTGTTTGTTAGTTTTTTTATTCTAGCGTTTGCTAGCCGATATTCTAGGCGGGCTTTTGAAGACCTGTCCTCCCTTTTTCTTTTTTTCGTTCTTTTTTCAACTGTTGGTTTTGTGTATTCAGTCGTTGGTTGCTGTATATTCGCACATTTGTGCTTTTCGATTTATAATATTTCTACCGTTTCAAAAAAAAAAAAAAAAAAAATCTCAATTCAATTAAAAATATGAATAGGCCATTTGGTTAGGATAAGTCATACTATTTAATAGGTCTTCATATATTCAAGCTACATGTCTCACTAAAAAAAATATATATAAACACAAATAAAACATTATATAAATTTAATTACATTTTTATTAAAAATATATAGACAGATCGACGATTTCATCATCTCACACTAGAATTCGCCCAAAGGTCTCAATATGCTACAATTATTGTTTGTGCCCTTTTACATGCTTGATTAAATTAATATGATTAAATTAATATGTTACCGGGTCTTCTCTAAAGTATTCAATACCATAATTATGAAAAGATCAATAATTAGCAATTTGCAATAGTTTTTCAATTTTTTTTTTTATTTTTTGCATAAATTTTATAATTACATTTTTTTTTTTTT